ATGGATTGTATGATAGACAGGGGAGATAGGGTTGATGGTTATGATGGACAGGGAGATAGGGTTGATGGATTATGATAGACAGGAGATAGGGTTGATGGATTGTATGATAGACAGGGAGATAGGGTTGATGGATTGTATGATAGACAGGGAATGGGTTGATGGATTGTATGATAGACGGGAGATGGGGTTGATGGTTGTATGATAGACAGGGGAGATAGGGTTGATGGATTGTATGATGATAGACAGGGGAATGGGGTTGATGGATTGTATGATAGACAGGGGTAGATAGGGTTGATGGATTGTATGATAGACAGGGGTAGATAGGGTTGATGGATTGTATGATAGACAGGAGATGGTTGATGGATTGTATGATAGACAGGAGATAGGGTTGATGGATTGTATGATGGACAGGGGAGATAGGTTGATGGATTGTATGATGGACAGGGGAATGGGGTTGATTGATTGTATGATAGACAGGGGAGATAGGGTTGATGGATTGTATAATAGACAGAGATAGGGTTGATGGATTGTATGATAGACAGGGTAGATAGGGTTGATGGTTGTATGATGGACAGGGGATGGGTTGATGGATTGTATGATAGACAGGAGATAGGGTTGATGGATTGCTATGATAGACAGGAGATAGGGTTGATGGATTGTGATAGACAGGAGATAGGGTGATGGATTGTATGATGAACAGGGGGATAGGGTTGATGGATTGTATGATAGACAGGGGAGATAGGGTTGATGGATTGTATGATGACAGGGAGATGGGGTTGATGGATTGTATGATGAGGGAGATAGGGTTGATGGTTGTGGGGGTGTGGTGTGTGGGGGGTTGTGGTTGTTGGACGGGGAATGGGGTTGATGGATTATGATGACAGAATGGGGTTGATGGATTGTATGATAGCAGGGGATGGTGGTTTTGATAGACAGGGAATGGGGTTGATGGATTGTATGTGATGAAGGGTAGATAGGGTTGGGTTGGGGAATGGGTTGATGGATTGTATGATAGACAGGGGAGATAGGGTGATGGATTGTATGATACGGGGTTGATGGATTGTATGATAGACGGTGATGGGTTGTGGTTGTATGTAGACGAAGGGGATGGATTGTATGATAGACGGGAGATAGGGTTGATGGATTGGTGATAGACAGGGAGATAGGTTGATGGATTGTATGATGAACGGGAGATGGGGTTGATGGATTGTATGATAGACAGGGTAGATAGGGTTGATGGATTGTATGATAGACAGGGTAGATGGGGTTGATGGATTGTATGATAGACAGGGTAGATAGGGTTGATGGATTGTATGATGACAGGGTAGATAGGGTTGATGGATTGTATGATAGACAGGGGATAGGGTTGATGGATTGTATGATAGACAGAATGGGGTTGATGGATTGTATGATGGACGGGAGATTGGGTTGATGGTTGTATGATGAACAGGAGATAGGGTTGATGGATTGTATGATAGACAGGGTAGATAGGGTTGATGGATTGTATGATGAACAGGGAGATAGGGTTGATGGATTGATGATAGACAGGAGTGAGGGTTGATGGATTGTATGATAGACAGGGAGATAGGGTTGATGGATTGTATGATAGACAGGGGGGTAGGGTTGATGGATTGTATGATAGACAGGGGAGATAGGGTTGATGGATTGTATGATAGACAGGGTGATAGGGTTGATGGGTGTATGATGGTGGGGAGATAGGGTTGATGGATTGTATGATAGACAGGGGATAGGATTGATGGATTGTATGATAGACAGGGTAGATAGGTTGATGGATTGTATGATGAACCAGAATAGGGTTGATGGATTGTATGATAGACAGGGTAGATAGGGTTGATGGATTGTATGATGGAGCAGGGTAGATAGGGTTGATGGATTGTATGATAGACAGGGGTGGAATGGGGTTGATGGATTGTATGATGAACAGGGTAGATAGGGTTGATGGATTGTATGATAGACAGGGTAGATAGGGTTGATGGATTGTATGATAGACAGAGATAGGGTTGATGGTTGTGATAGACAGGGAGATGGGGTTGATGGATTGTATAATAGACAGGGGAGATAGGGTTGATGGATTGTATGATAGACAGGGGTAGATGGGGTTGATGGATTGTATGATAGACAGGGGAGATAGGGGTTGATGGATTGTATGATAGACAGGGGAGATAGGGTTGATGGTTGTATGATGACAGGTAGATAGGGTTGATGGATTGTATGATGACAGGGAGATAGGGTTGATGGATTGTGAGTGAACAGGGTAGATAGGGTTGATGGATTGTATGATAGACGGGGTAGATAGGGTTGATGGATTGTATGATAGACGGGGTAGATAGGGTTGATGGTTGTATGATAGACAGAATGATGGGGTTGATGGATTGTATGATAGACAGGGTAGATGGGTTGATGGATTGTATGATGACAGGGTAGATGGGTTGATGGATTGTATGATGACAGAGTAGATAGGGTTGATGGATTGTATGATGACAGGGTAGATAGGGTTGATGGATTGTATAATAGACAGGGAGATGGGGTTGATGGATTGTATGATAGACGGGGAGATGGGGTTGATGGATTGTATGATGAACGGGGAATAGGGTTGATGGATTGTATAATAGACAGCGGAGATATGGTAGTGGATTATGATAGACAGGGTAGATAGGGTTGATGGATTGTTGATAGACAGAGATAGGGTTGATGGATTGTATGATAGCAGGGAGATAGGATTGATGGATTGTATGATAGACAGGGTAGATAGGGTTGATGGATTGTATGATAGACAGGGGAGATAGGGTTGATGGATTGTATGATAGACAGGGTAGATAGGGTTGATGGATTGTATGATAGACAGGGGAGATAGGGTTGATGGATTGTATGATAGACAGGGTAGATAGGGTTGATGGATTGTATGATGAAGGGTAGATAGGGTTGATGGATTGTATGATAGACAGGGTAGATAGGGTTGATGGATTGTATGATAGACAGGGTAGATAGGGTAGAGTGGACAGGAGATAATTGTTGAGTAGACAGAACAGATATTGTAGGGTAAACAGTGGAGATAGAAAGTTGAGTAGACAGAGTAGATATTGTTTAGTAGACAGTATAGATAGTATTGAGTAGACAGGGCAGACAGATTGATGAATATATATAATAGACAGATTATTAATTAAACCGACAGAGTGTTGCTTCCAGGTAGTAATATTAATTAATAATAATAATAAAAAAAATGCAACATTGCTTCATAAGACTCAGGTAGGTTCTATAAGCTATCGTTCTATTTACTTATTTGTAAAGGTTAAGGGATAATTATAGCAAATATTCAATAAGATTTTGCTTAGGGTGACGCAATCAGAGTGAGACTTAGAAAACAAATGCAACATCAGTAAACGAAGCATCAATTGCAACATCACTAAACAAAGAATCAATTACAGCATCACTAAACAGAGCATCAATTGCAACATCACTAAACAAAGAATATATTGCAACATCACTAAACAAAGAATCAATTGCAGCATCACTAAACAGAGCATCAATTGCAACATCACTAAACAAAGAATATATTGCAACATCACTAAACAAAGAATCAATTGCAGCATCACTAAACAGAGCATCAATTGCAACATCACTAAACAAAGAATATATTGCAACATCACTAAACAAAGAATCAATTGCAACATCACTAAACAAAGAATCAATTGCAGCATCACTAAACAGAGCATCAATAAGACCTGTTTCCTCTATGTTGTAAGGGGAAGTTGGGTGAAAAATATTGCAAATTATTTCTACAATCATCGGTAATTTCTTTTGGCTATGCAGCAATATCGCTGAGGAATATAACATTAATTGCAACATCTGTTTCTGGGTCTGCCGCAGCGAGGTGGGTATAATTTTTTTCCTCTATATGGAAGAAGGAAAAAAGATTGCAATATTTGTCTGATATTGTCTGTAATGTATATGGTGCAATGTTGCAATATCGTTGGGACATACAGGATATATTGCAATACCTCTACGTCAGGTTGAATCATATATACCGTTAAATTAAGACGCTTCCCTTGCATTATACATAAGTGAACAAAAAAACATAAATATTGCCAAATTTATCTGTTTTTGTCTGCAATTTCTTAGCATATGAAGCAATATCGCCGAGCTCTTTCCAACATTGTTCCCTCAGATTGAAGAAGACAAACTATTCAATTGCAAATATTCCTCAGTTGATGACAAAAATGTATCAAAATTTATTCAGGTATTGTCTGCAGTACAGTACAATATGATGATAAGATCGTCATGAACTTTGCAACATCGCTCCCTCAGACAGACAGACAGACAGACAGTTGATTCGGGACTATTTCCTATGCATCACACGTAAGGTGGAGTAATAAATGTTGCAAGAATTGATCTGATATTGTCTGCAGTTCCTTAATTTAAGTAACATTGCACCCTCAGACAGACAGACAGACGGTTGAACAGACAGACAGACAGACAGACAGACAGACAGAACCAGACAGACAAACGATTCCTACCGCTGCCTTATTACCACAGGGGTTTAAAGAGGTCAAACTCAGATGGCAGGGGTGAGGTGGTCGCCCTACCAATCATACTCAGGGCCAATACTTCACTATTCACTCTTACAACTTTACCAGTTCTTCAGTTTAACGATATATGTGATTTATCTTATTCATATATATATACATATGAATTTATATAAGGGCCTAAAATACAGTCATAGGGTTTAAGAAGTAAATATATATAAATTTGAACACGTGGCATTGAAGTCTCTCTCTCTCTCTCTCTCTCTCTCTCTCTCTCTCTCTCTCTCTCTCTCTCTCTCTCTCCTCTCTCTCTCTCTCTCTCTCTCCCCTCAAAAGTACTCTGTCCCGCTCTCCTCCTCCTTCCCACCTTCCCCCCTCCCTCCTCCATGCCTCTCTCCCCTAATTAGTACTGACCTGTCCTCCTCCCTCCCTCTTACTCCCCTCAGCAGTACTCACGTGTAGAAGGGAAACCTGGCGTCGTCCTTATACCACAGCACCAGAACGGGGGCGTCACTCGGGTGGGCGTGGCTGGCCAGGCAGGGCAGGCGTGTGGGCGCGCCGGCCACCCCTCACGCTCCTAACTGGAACAGCATTTGGGCCCGTCACACCTTCCATGTTTATGAAGGATACTGTGGGCGCGCCCCCACGCCTTCTGGTCTCTCACCGGTAACGTGGGCGGGCCTGTCACTCCCACCACGCCCCTTATTGGCAGTGTTGGAGCGCCGCCCACGCCCCTCACAGGCCCTGCAGAAGGAAGAGAGAGAGCGTTAGTGAGAGTATTAGCAGACCAAATAACCTTACCAAAATGACCTGGAAAAAATACAACAACAATAATAATAATAATAATAATAATAATAATAATAATAATAATAATAATAATAATAATAATAATAATAATAATAATAATAATAATAATAATAATAATAATAATAAAAATAATAAAAATAATAATAATAATAATAACAATCACGATAAGAACAATAACAACAACAATAACACAGATAACAATCATCACAGAAACAATAACAACAACAATAATCACCAATCACAAAAAAAGTCAATAAAACAAGAGAGTCGAGGGGGGCGGGACTCACCTCTCCCCGAACACAATACTAACGCCGGATTCTTGCATACCCGAACGTAATAAAATGCGGATCTTAACAGGAATCCGAAGGAGATGCGGCAGAGTCTTACGCGAACGACTCAGGGAACTGCTGGGGAAGACGAGGCCGTAATACTCCTGAGATAAGAAGATGAAGAGGAGGAGGGAGGAAGGGCAAGAGCAGGGGGGGGAAGGAGGGTGGAGGAAGAAGGAGGAGGGAAAGGAGGGAGGAGGGGCGAGGTGAGGAAGTGAAGGTGGAAGGATGGAGGTGGGAGTGAGGGAAAAGGTCAAAAAAGGAAGGAAGAGTGAGGGATGAGGGAAGAAGGAGGAAGAGGAAGAGGAGGAGCGGTCATGAGTGTTTAATACTTCTGCTGCGATTGATAGCTTCCTCCTCATCCTCCTCATCCTCCTCATCCTCTCATCTTCTGGGCCGAGAAGAGGTGGTGCTAAAAGTGAGAGAGAGAACCAATAACAAGACTTTTTCTCTCTCTCTCTCTCTCTCTCTCTGTATAAGTCAGTCAGACAGTTATACAATCAGTCAATGAGTCAGACAGAACAGGTATTCATAGAGCTGGTAGATGCAGCAGAACGAACACCAGTACTCAGCCCCACGCGGTCACCAGCCTCGAGCAGCAGCGTGAAACTCTACGGTGCCAGCCAGCCACGTTTAACTACCAGAGCTTGATGAAGTCTCTCTCTCTCTCTCTCTCTCTCTCTCTCTCTCTCTCTCTCTCTCTCTCTCTCTCTCTCTCTCTCTCTCTCCTTATGTCTCCTTCACTCCTTGTTACTCCCCCTCTCTTTCCACTCTATTTCTTTCTCCAATTCGCTCTTTTTTGTCCTCTTTCTTATTCCTGTTTATGTCTTTCCTATCACACCATTCCTTCCTTTCCCACTTCCTTCTCCCCTCCCTTCTCTCCACCTTCCCCTTTCTTCCCCCAGCACGCCTTTAACACCCTCTCCTTCCCTTCTCCTACCCTCGCCTTTCCCCTACTTCTTCACCTCCTCTTTTCTTAGTTCCTCTTCTTCCTCCTCCAACTCCTCCCTCCCTCCCTTCCCTTCCTCCCTTCCTTCCGTCACCCTTCTCCTTCCTCCCTCATCATCTCTTCCTTCTACCACCTCCTCTCCCTCATTTTGCCAGACTGCCAAAAACGATGCTATTCTGTGTGTGGTGTGTGTGTGTGTGTGTGTGTGTGTGTGTGTGTGTGTGTGTGTGTGTGTGTGTGTGTGTGTGTGTGTGTGTGTGTGTGTGTGTGTGTGTGTGTGTGTGTGTGTGATGGTGCCTGTGTGCCTCTCCCACTCTCTAATGGCACCTATCTTGTCCATCTTCGACCCCTCACAGACTGGTCAATTATTAATGTAACTGGCACCTGTCTGTTCCAGTCTATGAGCTAAAACTGGTTTGTTATCACGTCCTTGATTTCGGTCTGGCTGATAACTGTCTAGTCCAGTCTGTTATGAGTGTAGAATTTTAATGAGTGGTAATTGGTATGACTGTTACATGTCATACAGTCAGACGGTAATATTAATATGAATAGGGAAGATTAGGTGTGGGGCCCATTATAATTGGGCCCCTATTAGAATAGGGGCCCAAATAGACATTGATTTTTAGGCCTTTAAACACACTACAAATGTCTATACGCACGCACACACGCACGCACGCACACCAATTGCGAACGACCTGGTGTAGCCTCTTAAACAACAACAACAACAAAGACAATAACAACCACAACAAAAACATTTCGCCTCTGGTCATCATCTTCGGATTAACGCGTTTAGAGGTGAGTGATTTACAGGGGTCACGTTGATACCCGCACTCGCATCCACCCACACCCGCACCCGCATCCGCACCCGCACCCACACCCGCACATCCACCACCCACACCACACCCGCACCCGCACCCACACCCGCACACGCAACTAGACCTAAGATTTTTAACTTCCTGAAAGAGCGGATTACGTTAGGTGTGGATTAGTTTAGGCTGGAAGATTAGGTTATGTTTGAGTTGGTTAGATTAGGTTAGGTTATATAAAAGTTAAATTAGGTTAAGTTAGGTTGAGGATAGATTAGATCGTGGTAAAAATTAAAAAGTTAAGTTAAGTTAGAATAGGATAGGTTAAGGCGAACTTAGATTACGTTAAGGGAAGATAAAGTTAGGTTAAAGAAGTCAACGTCATGTCTGGGTTAAGTCAGAAGTATTTGGGTTAAGTGAGATTAAGTTAAGTTAAGTTACTCTGGTTAGTTGTCAGTCCGGGTCATTGAATTAGTGACACGTGAATTTACTCCCCAAAGTTTGTGTCACCAGAAACAAAACAGAGAGAGAGAACAACCCAACTTTAATAACTAAAACACACAACCAGCATTCGTTTACCTGAAGTCGAGCACTCAATAGACACCCGAAAGCCCTCAAAGATCCCTCCTCTTAAGTTCAAAATAACACACATAAAACAAAGAAATAAATCACGCAATTAAACAAAAGTCCTGTGGGGTCTTGAGGTGTTCAGTGTGTCTGTCGAGTTTCAATGCAAATCCGTCAACGTCTTAGGGAGTTTGTCGCGTTTTAGTAAGGACTGGAGGCGACAGACACGACGACACGAGCGATTTTCCATGTTTTTTTTCTCTCTCCCTTTGTAATGTCTGTCTGTCTGTTTGCCTGTCTGTCTGTCTCTTGTCTCCCTGCCTGCTCATCCTGTGCCGTCTCTCACTCTTTCTCTCCCTCACTTCGTAACGAGGCTCTCCCCCTTGTTCTCCCTATTTCTAATCTCCCTTTCTTCCTCTTCCTTTACCTTCTTTCAACCTCCCTCTTCCTCCTCTCTCCTCCTAACCCTCCTATCCTCCTTCCCGATCTTCTTTCTTTGCTCTCCTTCCTCCCTCCCCGACCTCTGATCTTCCTTCCTCCCTAACCCTCCTTTCCGCCCTCCTTAACCCTCCTTTCCTCCCTCCCTGGACCTCTTCCCTCCCTGGACCTCTTCCCCTCCCTCATCACCTGACTCGGGGCCCGAAGGGTCAGTCAGGGCTTCTATTAATTACCAACAGTAACTACAGTAGTGAGACTTCCTCCAGCCCTTATTACTTTTTTGTATAAAGATTTTCGATACTTCACTAGTGTGTGTGTGTGTGTGTGTGTGTGTGTGTGTGTGTGTGTGTGTGTGTGTGTGTGTGTGTGTGTGTGTGTGTGTGTGTGTGTGTGTGTGTGTGTGTGTGTGTGTGTGTGTGTGTGTGTGTGTATTATATTTATGTGTGTAAGAACAACTTCTGAGTATTAAATATTAATCCAAATCCTAAGCAGACACGAACGCGAGTCATCAGCATCCTTTAATACTGATTAAGTCAATTATATAATGTATTTAGCGCCTCATTATAATTAATCTCCATTTCATCCAAAATATTAACCAAATTACCAATCAGAGATTATATACTTTTATAACTTTTTTTTATTTCACGCATTTTGATAATTAGTTTATTTTAATGGGTAAATATTTGTTGTTTAAAAAAAATATATTACATACTTTTTGCTTGTTTGAAGTCGATATAATATATATTTTTTTTTATGTTTTACTGGATTATAAAGCAGATAATTATATTCTTATTTGTATTGGAAGGAATATAATATCTAGTTTAAAAATTGGAAAATAAAATAAAATATTCCTAAAAACTACCTTAATCACGATTATTTTTACGCCCACTATATTATATTTGGAGTTAATATAGCAATTATATTTTACAATTATCGTATATAAAATTATCATCGAAATTATTATCTTTTTATAGGCTAGAATATTTTGAGTTTAGTTAAAGGTTATATATATATAAAAAAAAATCTTGGTCGTTTTAATGCATTAGTTTGGACTGAGTTGAAGTCGTTCAGTAATTTAACCTGATGACCGTCCCTTCTTCTTCTTCTTCTTCTTCTTCTTCTTCTTCTTCTTCTTCTTCTTCTTTAACTGATCACTCCTCTTCCGTCTCCTTCTCACCTCCATCCTCCTACATCTTCCTCTTTCTTCCTTTCACCTCTATCTTCCTCCTCCTCCTCCTCCTCCTTACCCCTCCTCCACCTGCCACTCACCTCCATCCACCCACTCCTCCTACACCCTCTCATCTCCACCCACTCCCAGTAAAAAGTGGGTGAGAGAGAGAGAGAGAGAGGAATAAAGAAGACAGAGAGAGACACTTAGCAACCAGAACAATGGGTGAGGAATAGGTAGGAGAATTTTGTGACGAGCGAAAGACAAAAGAACAGCGGCAGTAAGTATAAAGGGATAATGAGGGAAGAAGATGTAATGGCCGATAAGAGGATTGAGAGTGGGAGAGGAGAGAGGAAGAAGGAGAGAAAAGAAAGAAAAAAGAGGTTGGGGGGAGAAGAAGAGAAGGTTTAGATGGAGGAAGAGAAAAGAAAAAAGGGAGAGGGTTAGAGTTTAAGAGGAAGGGAGAGGAAAGAGGAGAGAGGGAGGAAGGAAGGAAGCATGATAAGGAGGGAGGAATGAGAGAGAGATGGAAATAGATGAATAAAAACTATGAACTAAGGAGGAAGAAAGGAGAAGAGGAGGAGAGGGGGAGAAAGGGAATGAGACAATACGAAGAGGTATAAAAGGAGGGGGAGGATGAAGGAGTGAAGGAGAGAGGGAACACGAACAGGAGAA